GGCCCAAAAACGATTGAACTTGATATTGAGTCCTGAAGACTTACCCAAGCAGAAAATGAAACACTGTTTTTTCAGTTTACCCTGAGATTTGTTGGAGCACTGCAGTAAGTCTGCTGTCTGCCAACTGCTGTTCTCTCTCTCTGGGTTCCTTCTCCATCTATTGTTCATTCCTTCCCTCTCTCATATCCCCTGTCTTCAACATAGATGCCACCTTTTCTCAGTTCCAGTCTGTTCTGAAAAAAGGTCACTGGACATGAAACATTGACTCGGCTTTCCCTCCAAAGATGCTGCCAGATCTGCTGAGTTCCTCTAGCAATTTCAGTTTTTGTTGCATATCACTTTGTTTTTCAAAATCTTTAGAACTGTATTACGTGTTCATTCTTTGTATATTCTTTTCATTTCTGTAATAATTTCTGTTTTATTGTTAAAACCAGAGCTGCAGTATAAAGTGCTTGTGTTTCATGCAAGGCTACTTCTTTAAATGGAAAAAAAACATAATCTATTAAGCCAGATTTCAGTCTGGGTTCTGACATGTCCAGTAATAACATCAACTGAGATCATAAAATTTACTGAGTTCAGGAGGGATCTGCATCTTTCTTTTTAAATTAATTGATGTGTAGTGGTTTTGGACATAAAATGTCTGTGTTGTGGGAAATTTTATTGCACAGAATTTGAAGATGTTTTTAAATACTGCTAGGAGTTTACAGGAAGTGGACGATAGAGCAGCGGATGATCTGAGATTTTTGATTAAAGTTAAACTGAGAGTTAGCAGATAAATTGAAGGTAAAAGTAAAAGCAGGGTCCCATAAGGAAGGGATGCTTCAAATTATTATCCAACATTTCGAATTGGAAGAAAGGAAACAGAATTTGGGATGTCACAGCTGGAATTAGCTAAGATATTGTTTGAAATGAAAAGACTCAAGTTAGAAGAAAAGCAGTGTTGAAGGGAATGTGAGATAAAGAAAAATAGAGAGACATAGAGTCATAGAGTTATACAGCATGGAAACTAACTTCTTGGTCTAACTCATCCGTGCCAACCAGATATCCTAAATTAATCTAGTCTCACTTGCCAGCATTTGGCCCATATCCCTCTAAACCTTTCCTATTCATGTACCCAGCCTTTTAAATGCTGTAACTGTACCCACCTTCTCCATTTCCTCTGGTAGCTAATTCGACACACGCACCACTCTCTGCATGTAAAAGTTGTCCCTTAGGCCCCTTCTATATCTTTTCTTTCTCACCTTAAACCAATGCCCTCTAGTTTTGGACTCTCCTGGGAAAAAGACCTTGGCTAAAATTGTTTTTAAATGTTAATTAAAGGGGATTTCTGTAGCTACTGTGAGGGAGAAAAGGATTTGTGGATGGTGGGGTGGGTTGGGTGGGAGGAGAGAAAGAGATAGAAGCATATTTAAAAGAAAGAGTAAATGAACAAAACATGGTATATCCATTGGAGTTGATAAGATCCATAGCGGAAAGTTGAAGCATGTACTCCTTGTGATATCTTCAACATAGGAGGCACCTAAAATACTTCAAATAGCAAACATTGCATGATATTTGACTTGCAAACATGAGTTAAAAGTCAATTTTGAGGAAGTAATTAAAGATAGAGAAAGAAGTAGTAGCAATAAAAATCTGGAGAGCAAAGCTGAGACACTTGATGGATTTTGTGATGGAGACCTGAAGTTGGAGGATGAAAGGCATGAGCTGGGATGTAGAACTGAGAAAGTTGCACCAGTGAGAAGCAGTGAAGCCATAGACAGATCAGTAAATGAAGCTAAATACCTACCATTTGATGTGGTGTAGTGTGAAGGATGACCGAGGTTGTCAAAGCAAAAGTTGCTGGGCATGCAGGACTTAGTGTGAGGCAGAATGTGGCCCTTATTGGAATATTTGGCATGTCCTTTACTGAATTTTAGAGGTTTTTTTAACCATGGCAGAAAGGTCACAAAATTAAAGTCTCTGTGCATCGCACGTACAGAGCATTATTTTCAAAGCATTTAAAAAGCATATGAGCTTGATTTTTTTCCTCAATTGTCAGCAACAACTCGTATTTACATAGCTCCATTGAGGCATAAGTATCTCAAAGTGCTCCACAGGAGAATCAGCATGCAGGTATCATTGAGCATTTTATATAGATCACTACTCACTTAGCAGGCTGCATTCACAGTGCTTTCATTTTTCTTTGACTGATTACCTACGTAAAACTTACATGAATTAAGGGGAGATTTATATGACATTTCCTGAGAATCTAAGGATGCACAGGAGCCAGTCAAAATTGCTAGGGTGTAAACGACGACAGTGATGATGTATGATGTCATTCCCTTATTTCTGGATTCTAATTCATGCACCTCGAATTCTGTGTAAATTCTGATGTGTGGAACAACATGCCCAGATAATTAGCTGTTGTGCTCATTACAGGTTAAAAATTCAGGCTCCTTTCAGCTGAGATGGCTGTGTGCTTAAGTTGATGTAGATACCTTTTGGGCCAGCAGGTGGTAATATTGTATCAAAAATAATCTGTAGAGCAATCCATTCACAGGTCAACACCAATTCACTGAAGCTTCATCTCTTGTGCTGATCCTAAACAGAACTATTTACAGTGGTGAAATAGCAGAGGAGAGAATTCAGACAAATATCTTAAGCACTTGCTTGCCTGTCATCCAAATTTGTGCTCTTGTTCAAAGTGCCATTAGGTTCAATCGTGCCTCTACTGTTGGCAAGACCCTTGCTAAATTTCATATGCTCCAAACATCTTCATAGGCTGTATCGCATGTTGTTTTGCCAATTTTCATTGGGAACTGTTTGGCTAATTTTTGTTCTCCCATCGACCAACAAGGCCATGCCAAAACATGATATTTTTTCTGGTAACTCCTTGTAATGTTGTGTATGTTATTATTAAACATTCCTTTGACACATGTCCCTTCCTGAACAAATAAAAATTTGTCAAAACACTTCATGAAGTGAAAACAAAATACTGAGAATGGACCACCATTTGTTCGAAATTGGGTGTCAAAAAATCAACATCCCAAAATGTTAGCCTTTTCTCCTGTGATATGTAATTTCATGTTTCCAATATTTATTATTAATTGTATATTTTTCTTATTACTGTGATTTAGCAGGCAGAGCCACTTTAATTCCAGTGCCTACTTTGTACTGACGAGCTGTGATTTGTTTCATTTATCCATGTGTAAGTCATGCTTCACACAAATTGATTAAAATAATTAATTTCTTGCCTAAATTACTTCCATTAAAATGATTCTATCCTTTAGAACCATTATTGTACATAATCAGCGCAAATCACACCCAGTCACATCTAGTTTGTAAGCGAGAAGGAAGGAAAGAAGACTTGAATTTATATACTGCCTTTCATAGCCTCAAAATACTGCGAATACTTTACAAAAAAATGAATACTTGTGAAGCGTAGTTACTGTTGTAAGATAAAGTGAAGTAGACAGGTTTATCTGTTTTTTTTTGTTGAAATACTTATTTACAACTGTAATAAATGAAATTCCCCAAAGAATATTACAACCATGTTTGTTAAAATTGGAAATGCAGTATCACTGACCTATGTCACAGAAGAGCATTTATGCAATAATATGCGCGCATTTCAAAACACATTTTTCCTCCAATATTCTATTCTTTTTTGGTGGAAGGTTGTAATTCAAACTCACAGAACAACTATCTGTCCTTCCTAAGGCTATGTAGATGTAGAACAACAACTGTCATTTCATATTTATCTGCTTAAGCCAAGTAATTGCATGTAACAACATGTATCACTGGGCTGTCTTCTCTGTACTTGTGAATCAGGCTTTAAGTCAATATATCTTGCGTGGTCTGTTCAGGGTGACCATAGTCCCACACAAAAGAGTTTTTAATTTTCCAATTTTGTTTCAAATATCTGCATCTGTCATTGATTGAGAGAAGGCAGTTTGTAGTTGTCTGCGAGTTTTATGAAAGATCGAGGCAAGAGTCTCTCAGCATTGAGTCTTTCACAAGATATTTATTTATGACATCATATGATTTCCATTCAGTTTCCCAAGCTTCACTAGCTTTGAATTAATATTGTCAATGGTTAACTGTGTGGGTCCAGGTTGAAAGACCTTGTTGAAGTCCTGGTTGATTTGTTTTTCTTGATTCACTGAACATCCTGAAGGGTTGTGACATTGTGGAAAAAGCCTGGGTGTGTAATGCACAGCTGCCCAGATATTTGACTGCAGTATATACAAGCACCATTGCAGATCTTCAATGCACTGACACTGACTCTTATGCTTCCCAACTTGTAATGGCTAGCTTTTGAACCAGGTTTACTTTGAATATATGAGACAGAAGCATGCCAATCAACCCAACCAGTCATGCCTGTATACATGAGATAGTAGGAACTGCAGATGCTGGAGAATCTAAGATAACAAGATGTAGAGCTGGATGAACACAGCAGGCCAAGCAGCATCAGAGGAGCAGGAAACCTGATGTTTCGGGCCTGTTATCTTGTTATCTTATGCCTTGTTATCTTGTTATCTTATGCCTGTATACATGCTCCACTTTCCAACTTTCCTGATCAGAATCCATCTGTATAGTTCTGTATATCCTTCTCTCTCATACATTTGTCTAGTGTCTGCAGCTATACTGGTCACTGCACCCACTGCCCATTGCAGTAAGTTTCACATTCTCACCACTACTTGGGCAAAGAAGTTTCTTGTAAATTCTCTATTGGGTTGCTTGGTGACTATCTTATACAGTACAGTGGAAGCTGTTGAAAGAAAATGTTCCAATGGCGAGAAGGATTGTTCAGTTTATTTCATCATTCCAATTAAACAAAAATTGTAAATATGCATAGGAGAATCAATCCAGTGCGAATATTCTATGAAAGGAAATTTCAATTAACTACCATCCACAGCACCATACAACTTATATAAACCAGGTCAGCATATAACTGTATGCTTTACAGTCACTTATTTCTTTGCAAATTTTGAAAAGTTATAATTATGAAAAATAATACTTACTCCTGTAAGTTGCAGACTGTCCAGTATAACTACCACAAATAGCAATAAGAAATACAAGTTCAGATAATCTCATTTTAGCAGAACAACGGAGACTTTCAAAACAGTAGCCTTCTGCTGTATTAACAGAGTGCAGACTGAAACTAACCTATTAAAGTTTTACTTTAAAAGTCAATATCTGATCCCTTGTCTGTTTGGATAGTGATACTTTAGTTTGATGAACTCAATGTTAAGTCAACAGTATATGTTCCTGTTCTTGGTAAACCTCAAATTAAAGAAATTCTGTTTTTTCACATGTATCATTGCAGAAATGTTAATTTTACATAAGTGCTTTGTAAATTTTCAACTTGAGTTTGGATTATGATATTGCACATGTAATTTTCATTTCATCCTTGAGATATGGATAGCGCTGACAAAAAATGTATTTACTCCCAATCCTTGGTTGCCCTGAGATAATAGCAGGCCCGTGTAATCTCTGTCGCTCTTGAGGTCATGGTGGCCCCACACTGGTGTTAGGCACAGATTATATATTGACACAGTAGTAATGAAGGAATGGTGACATTTACACAAGTCAGGATGGTGAGCGACTTAGAGAAGAACTTGACCTTGAAAGTAATGGTATTCATATGACATTTTTCTTGCTTGTAGAGGCTACAGGTGAGGGAGCTGCTGCTGAGTACCCTCAGTAAGTTGTCTCAGTGACCCTTAGCAATCATACTGCTGCTTGTGGAATGTATTGTATAGGAGGGATGATTATTGCAGTGTTGATCAATCAAAACAGACTTTGCCCTGTTTTTATAGCCATGTTGTTGATATGGCTGGTCTAGTTATGCTACTGGTCAATAGTGACTTTCTTTAAGTTGATGATGAGGCACACATTGGTATTGGTGTCATTGAAACTTAATAGGGAAGGTGATAATTAGTGTATAATGACCATATAAATTTCCCTTTGTGTCATGTATAACTCTAGTCACTGGCTGGTTTTTCATCAGATTCACACTGGCCTTAGTTTTTTCTAGATCTACATTTAATCAACCGCTGTCTTGATTTTGAGGCCTGCTACTCTTTCTTTCCTGACTTTCTACTCTTAAGTCCAGGTCTGGATCAAGAATCTGCCAAGTTTTGTCTTTATAGAGAATGAAAATAATTTTTCAGAAAATGTTAGGTAAGTCAGAGCCTACTGGGAAGGAGGAAATGTGAAAAGAAAGTGTTGTAGAAATCAATGGGGCATGAAAGCTGATAAATCCCCAGGAGCTGATAATTTACATTTCAGGGTACTAAAGCAAATGGCCATGGATGTAATGGCTGTGTAGGTGTCACTTCTGAAGGTCTACAAATTCTGGAACAATCCCATAAGATTGGAAAGTGTTAAATAGTAAACTCATGATTCCAAATAGAAGGGAGGGAGAAAACAGGAAATTATAGGCAGGTTAGTCTCATATCAATGGTAGGAAAAATATTGGAATCTATCTTAAAAGGATGTGATAACGGGACACTTAGAAAATACCAAGGAGATTAGACAAAGATAACATGGATTTTTGAAAAGGAAATCATGTTTACTAAGCCCAATGAAATTTTCTTGAGGAGATAACTAGTAAAATAGATAAGAGAAATCCAGCGGAATGTGGTGTATTTGGCTTTCCCATGTGAAAGATCAGTATACAAAATTAAAGCGCATGGAATTGGGGATGATACACTGGCATGGGTTGGACATTGGTTAGCTGACAGGGAACACAGAGCAGAAATAAATCAGTCTTTCTCAGAATGGAAGGTGGTGACAAGCGGGGAAACACAGGGATCAGCGCTTGGGTCCCAGCTATCCTCAATATATATCAATTTAGGTGGGGGAATCAAGTAAAATATTTCCAAATGTGCTGACCAACAAAACTAAGAGCAATTGTCCTGATGAGGAGGAAGTAAAAAGGCTTCAAAGAAATTTATACAAGTTGGGTGAGTGAGCAACTACATGGCAGATGCAGTACAAACTGAATAAGTGTGAAGTTATCCACTTTGGTAGGAAAAACAGAATAGCACAATATTATTTCAAAGCTGATGGGCTGGGAAGAGTTGATGTGCAAAATAATTTCGTGGTCCTTGCACATTGTCCCTGAAAGCAAACATGTAGATGAAACACATAGCTAGAAAGCCAAATTGTATATTGGCCTTCATTGCAAGGGATATTGAGTACAGGAATAAAGGTGTTTGCACAAAATATTGCAGATCCCTGGGGAGACTGTATCTGTAATAGTTTGTGCAGTTTTGGTTTCCTTACCAAATAAAAGATAGACTTACTAAAAAGGGAGTTCAGTGAAGGTTAACCAGACTAATTTATAGTATGGCATGTTGCTGTATGAGGGTACATCGCATCAATTTGACCTGTATTGACTGGAGTTTAGAAAAATAAGAGGGGATTAGTAGAAGTACGTAAAGTTCTAACTTGGATAAATTAACGGGAATGATGTTCCTACTGGCTAGTGGCAGGTATGTGGGTGGAAGGGTGCTGGAACAAGTGTTCATGGACTCAGGGCACAGTGTAAACTTAGAATCCCTACAGTGTGGAAACAGGCCCTTCAGCCCAACAAGTCCACACCAACTTTCAGAGCGTCCCACCCAGACCCATCTCCCTATAACCCACCTAATCTACATAGTCCTGAACACTACGGGCAATTTAGCATGGCCAATCCACCTAGCCTGTACATCTTTGGAATGTGGGAGGAAACCGATGCAGATACGGGGAGAATGTGCAAACTCCACACAGACTGTCACCCAAGAGTGTAATCGAACCTGGGCCTCTGGTGCCGTGAAGCAGCAGTGCTAACCACTGAGCCACCATGCTACCCAGATCATTTCGGATGGAGATAAGGAAAAGGGTGGTGAATTTGTAGAATTCTACACTATGTATGGCTGTGGTGGCCACGTCACTGAATATATTTACAAAAGAAATATATAGATTTCTGGACACTAAATGTGTCGAGGGATATAGGGAGAGCACGGGAGTATAGCATTGAGTAAGAGGACCATGTCAAATGCTGCTGCAGATTTAATGGACTGAATGGCTTATTCTACATGTTTCCAAATGAGAAGAGAGTTCAATTAAATTAATGTAAATTATAAGTTTCTTTGGAGAAACTAAAAGCATCTATAAGATGTTGAAAACTAAAATCTGGTCTCAATTGTAACATCTCAATTGTAAATTCAATGCGTAAGCACTCTACAAGTTTTGCTGTTTAGCTAAACCAACTAGAAAGACCCCAGTTTGGATTCATGGTGCGTGTTTAATTATCTGGTCTTGGTCATATGTCCCCAGCTAGAGAAGAGGTCAATCAGCTAGTGTTGCTAAAAAAAATTACTCTGTAGTAATTTCTCCTATAAAATAGCAGTCTGATGGTGGCACAATAAGGTTTGATAGCTCAGATAAAAGCAAAATACTGCAGATGCTGAAAATTTGAAACACAATCAGAAAATGCTGAAAATACTCAGCAGGTCAGGCAGCATCTGTAGACAGAAACAGAGTTAACAGTTTGGGCCAATTACTTTCAATTGATAATTGATTGCTGATGTTGCTGTCTTGTCTCATGCTGAACAAGTATCATATGAAAGATGCTGCATGGCTGCTGGGGCCCATGAATCATATAATTGGATATTGCCTGCCTTTGATAGCAAATTAAAAAGGTACCAACGTATGAACATACAAACATACAAAATAGAAGCAAAACTAGACAATATGGGCCCTCAAGCCTGGTGCACCATTCAATAACGTCATGGCTGATCTATTTGTGTTTTGAATTCCACATTCCTATCTTTCAGCAAAGCCTTTGATTCCCTTACCTAACAAGAACCAATCTACTTAGGCCTTGAAAATATTTAATTTCTCCTGCTTCCACAGCCTTCTGAGGCAGAGAGTTTCAAAGTTGCTCAACTCTCAGAGGAAGAATTCTCATTTATGTCCAAAAAAAAACCAATTTTAAAACAGTGTCTCATAGTTCTAGACTTATCTGCTGCAGAAAACATCCTTAGCACCTCCACATTATTAAGATCATTCAGGATCTTACTATCCTTCAGTTAAGTCCCACCTTTTCCCATCACCCTACAACCAACACTTATAAACTCCAGGGGAAATATCACCAACCTGTCCAACCTATCTTCAAAAGACAGCCCACTCATTCCAGGTATCAGCCTAGTAAACCACCTATGAACTTCACCCAATGAGTTTACATCCTTAAATAAGGTGACCAAAACTGTACACAATTTTTGAGCTGTGGTTTCACCAATGTATATAACTGAAGCATATAACCTTGGCTTTTATGTTCAATTCTTCTCAATTATGTGCTGGAACTATGTACAAACTTTTGTAACTTATGCACTCAAACACCTAAATCCCTCTGCACCTCGAAATTCCAATCAGTCTTTCTTGAAGTAATGCATTGCTTTTTCACTTTTCCTGCTAACGTGAGCAACTTCACATTATAGTCCATTTGCCACATTTTTTCCCTATCACTCACTCAGCCTATAACTCAATCTATAACTGCAACCTCCTTAAGTCTTCTTTACAATATACATTCTTACTTGGTGTCATCTGTCAATCTAGCTATAATGCCTTTGCTCCCCTCAACTTTGATTCAAATTGTAAAATTTTGATTATGACACCTTCCGAAATGCCTTCTGGAAATCCAGTACAGTAAGTCTATAGGTCCCCCCTTATCCAGAGCTGCAATAAATTGGTTCAACGTGATTTGTTTTTGATAAAATCATGTCAACTCTTCTCAATTACTTTGAGTTTTTCTAAGTGTGCAGTTATAATCTCTTAATGATAAAGTCTAACACCTTCACCATGACAGACATCAAGTTTGCTACTTCCCAGTCCGATACAATCTTTCGTGAATCGAGGGAATTTTGAAAAATCAGCACCAATGCAGTCATTAGTCGATTAGCAATCTCTTTTAAGACTTTGAAATGAAGTAAATCTGTAGCAAGAGAATTATCAGCCGCAGTTCCATTTGTTTGCTCTTTCCGAGTATTACTTACCAATTTTACAAAATTCTTCTCTCCCTTCCGCCTGCTGATGTACAGCTGGAATATAGGTTATCATCAACAGAAAATCATT